CAGGTGCAAGCCCCCTCCCGCCCCATCCATACCCCCAGCTGACTAGGACAGTGCTCTAACCACTATGCTACAAGGCAGGCATGATTGAATCTGCTGTCCAGCCCACCTTTTAAAGCTGAGACCTTGCATCCTGCATTTGAGATGAGAGACATCCTTTACAGGGAAATTGATAAAGAGTAATGAGGAAGTTTCTGCCCCTTTAGAATCATGGGCCTAAGCCAGAACCCAGGGCTTGTTCCTTTCCAGAGCAGCTGCCAAGTTCTTCTAGCTTACTCTCTTCCTCCTGACCGCTCACATCTTCCCCCACCTTTCCTTTAAGGTAAACTTAACACAGGGTTTGTTTTTTTCTTTGCAAGCTATGCTTAACACATCTAAAAAGTTATACTACTTAATCCTGATCTTCAGTTCTTTATTGATTAAGTGCTAAAGAAATAGAGGATGTGTCTGCATGTTTGCATACTGTTAAGATACTGAAATACACACATTCCTTTAATTCCTACTTTTTAAAAAAAGGTCTCTTTTTCTAGTTTCTGCCATTAAGACATTTATTTCTTGCATTCTGGTTTTTTTCAGGTCCCTGTGGGGACAAAAATAAATTGCAGATCCAGTTGTCAGTAAGAAGTAAAAAGTACAGTGTTTTATGGCCCTATAAAACTACTGTTATAGCTGGCCAGAGTTCTGAAGGAACTGACAAATATAATCTGATTTACTGGCAAATTACTGCAAGGTATCCCTATGGTTTTGACCAAAGGCTAACTCTGATGACTGTAGAAAATGAGATTATATTCTGACAATCCAGCCCTGCTCCTTCCTCCCTCCCTACCTCTCACACAGATTGGTCTATATTTTAAATACATATCATATACCCTACATCTTCCCACACTTCTAATCTTGATTCCACAAAATTCTGAACCTTTTTTATCTCTTCTGAGTGACTTAATCGTTTTTTAATATCAAGAAATAAGAATTAATATTCAGCTTCAAAACACTGTCTGTTACTCAGTGTTGCCAACTGTTGTTGTCTGTGGGATTTATTGGTAATGTTGAAGTGATGTTGTTGTGATCTAGGAACTGTGTGAGATGGAAGAGGCTTTGTGGATGATAGCTTTTATTGGACCAACTGTATGGCTGGGATAAAGTTCGACAACCATTCAAATGCAAAGTACTCTTTATCAGGTTTGAGGGAAGAAGAATGCATAGCAATGATTAAAATTTACAAAATGCCTTCAAAAGGTGAGCTTTGGAACAATAATTCATAAATTGGATGGACAATGACAGCCAAGGACTGAACACTGATGCTGACTTTATGGCATGCTATAATCTATGTAATTACTGAAATTCTTCCTTCACCTACCAGAGGAGGGAAAATGACCCTCCTCCCTTTTGATAGGTCTTCATTTTCCATTAGTAAAGTTTCTTGTTTTCTGTTAATTGTTTATCTTATTCTCTTCTCCAGTTTCACAGCCCTTTCACAGCCCTACAGGATTTATTGTAATATTTCTGTTTTAAATGTGTTCATGTTGTTATAGTGCTGTGTTCCTCAGTCTCACCATAAGGCTAGTATGTGGGGAAGAAATGGGTTAAGAGACAGTGAATAGGAGCAGATGATGTGACTGCTTCCCAACCATTCCCCAGATTCCAGTGTGGGGATGGCACAGGGAGTCTTTCTCTACTTCTGCATTACCACCAGGGACCAGAAGGAATGGAGCAAGCACTGCTCCACATGCCTTCTACAGATAGGGATCACTCAAGTCTGGAGAAGGCAGGGAGAACAGGGGAGAGGAGGCAGCTGCAAGATAAACATCTGTATGCTCCTCTCCCAGAATGATTGTTCCCAGAAATTTCCCAGAAATTTCCACTGGTAGAAATAAATGTCTTTCATTCAGTCATCCTTGTGATAATAAAAAACTTTCCTATAGCTAAGGTTGTGGATGCCCCACTTCACTTCAGGTACAGTACCAGTCAGTAAGATCCAAAAGTGTCTGTTACTAATGCTGTACCAATATTATCAGAAAAAAAAAACCTGAGAACCAAGAAGCAGCCACCCTCCGCTCTCATCCCGGGCTATAAACCCTCGTAATACGGCCACAAGCACTTTCACACAGAAGGGTGATATGTCAATTTGCTCCTCATTTGAATGAAAATATTGTCTTGTAACTGAAACTACTAGGTAGACAAGCTTATAAAACTGTACATCTGTAAAATCTTATACCTTGTTATTTTGTAGGAAGTCACAGTGTTCAATTCGCATGTAATCTGAAATGAGGTTGGGCTGCAAGGGATGAACACCTTTCAGAAGGGGCCTGATGTGTCCAGGAAAATTATTATGAACATAGGTAATACTTGGAACACAAGCAAAGAATTTGCTCTTTAAAACCATACTAAGAGGTCTCGCTGAGACCTTGGAAAAAGCACAGGGAGTGGAAACATGCATTGCGTTTTGTTGCCTTTGTGCTGCCGTAAATATTTTTATGGTGGTCTAAAGGCCAAGCAAACAGGCATTAATACCCCTTTGTCACTCCAAAAATGCCCCAAATTTATGGCTGCAATGAAGTTGGCATCAGTTGGTACTACTGTTTAGTGACCAACATCTATTTATTTTATGGTGTGAGAATGCCAGCAATTCACAGCTTCCTCTGCTTTCCATTTGCCTGGGATAGGTGCTCCTTGGCCTTGAGAGGCTTGATCCTGCACACACTGGGAATTCCTATGCAAACTGGGTCCTTCAAACCTTAGAAGAACACAACACCTATTGTCCTGCACCATCAATAGTCAGGACAACAGGTAACATTTCTTCTGCCCAGTGAAACAGATCATCTGTGAGAGGCACACATTCTGGCACAGATGATTTGCTTAATTTGGAGATGTCTACTTCTAGTGTGCAAGTCACATTTTTAAGGACATTTAGAGCTAAATCCTATTTCATCTTATAGGTCTAAATGGTATGTGTGCAGCTGTCCAACTGTCATCTTTGGCACTTACACACAGAGTTTGTGACCCAGCTTTGTCTCCACAAACTCATGCAGGTACACTGGGAATGCTAAGTAGACCTGCACTCTGTCAGGCAGCTGCAGGACAAAAAAAATAATTTACTTGCCTACTGGGCAGACAGGAGATGGCAATGCCTCACTATGGCTCAGTGATTAGACTTCTTTGCTAGGTGTAGGAGATGCAGATTTAAACCCAACATAAGTGGGGTCTAGAACTTTGGTTTTCCATTCTCCGAGAATATACCTTAACCACTAATTAAGCTACTAGTATAAAAAACAGGAGGGCTGTCCTCTGACTGGTGTATGCACCAGGACGATTCTATTTAACTAAAGGGCAAAACAGAATCGGAAATGTGTTTACATGCCAAAAACAAGTTATGCAGTGGTATATACATCATTTAGGCACATAAAGCAAAATATATTCCACTGAGTTCAAAGAGAGTTAAGTGCCTAATAACTTTAGAAATCTGATCCTTTTCTCATTGCATTACTCTCTTCATACCTACTTACTGACTTTACGTGTGTGTGACAGGAATTAACTTACTGTTTGTAAAGTGCTTTGAAAAGATAAAATCCCCAAGCTGTAGGAATGCTAAGCACTACTACCATTAATATTATTTTATAGTTTTTGGAATCATAGAATCATAGAAAATTAGGGTTGGAAGGGACCTCAGGAGGTCATCTAGTCCAACCCCCTGCTCAAAGTAGGACCATCGCCTACTAGACCACTCCAGCCAGGCTTTTATCAAGCCAGCCCTTAAAAACCTCCAAGGATGGAGATTCCACCACCTCTTTAAGCATCTTGTTTCAGTGCATCACCATCCTAATATCCAACATAAACCTCCCTTGCTGCAGCTTGAGACCATTGATCCTTGTTCTGTCATCTGTCACCATTGACAAGTCTAGCTCCATCCTCTTTGGAAACACTCTTCAGTTAGTTAAAGGCTGCTGTCAAAATTAGGACAGAGTGGGCACATCTACACATTGCCCTACGGTGATGTAGCGGTGCGCTATGTTCCCGTACGGTATGCTGCAGTAACATAGCGATCACGTGGGTCTACACATGATCACTAGTTACATCGCTATAGCAGTGCACTCCCTGATTATAGCTCACCACTATGGCAACAAAGCAGGGAAATTTAACCATGCGCTGCCCATACTGTGCAGTATGGGCAGTTACTATGCTGAGTTTTAGTACTTCCAAACGGAAGTACTAAAGCATGGTGCAGTAACAAGGTCATCATATGGCAACATGTAGACACACCCAGTGTACACTGATTAGAAGTGCAAAAACTAATGTGCATTAATTAGAAGTTCAAAAACAAAGATTGGGAATAGAATGATAAGGAAGCATTACAACAGAATATCAGAAAGAGAAGATCTGCAAATATTTAGCATGTTTGATTAAACTACTTGCCAGTGAAAAGTAGATTTTAAAACAGAACAACAGATATAATGATCTTCTGATTTGTGGATCTACTGGTCCACCAAGACAATATTTTAGCTGTTCTAGTGCAATTCTCAAGAGTCAAGTGATTTGTTGTACCCTCAGTAGCCTGTCCTGAGTTTTTCTTATAGGAACAAATAATTTCTAGATGGGGCAACATAAAAGTCATAGTGGCAAAGATTCCAGGAGATTGGGCTGAATCATAGATTTCACAGATTCCACAGATATTAGGGCTGGAAGGGACCTTGCGAAATCATCTGGTCCAGCCCCCTGCCCAAGGGCAGGATGTCAGCTGGGGTCAGAGAACCCCAGCGAGATAATTATCCAAACACTTCTTGAATGTGTCCAGAGTCGTGCTTGCACCAGTTCATCACTGAAGTGGCATGTCCACATTTTGCTTTATATTATTTGTCTCTTACATACAGTAGAAACTTTCTATAGTCAGGATCCAACAATCTGTGTGGAACAAACTGGGCTGGGCATCCAATTCTAATAAGTATTTTAATCTTATTTCAAAGTTACTTTTTGTCCTGTCTTAAGAACAAAAACTTAATGTTTCATACCTTTTCATGAACTTTTTGCCCTGGCTCCATTCCTTCAATATGTTCTGATTCAGCAGGTCCCTCTCCAGATGCCATTTTCCTTTGAATATGTGCATTTTGTTCACGTAAAGCTACAATCTGTAAAAATCAATCAATCAATCAATCAATCAATTAATCAATCAATCAAGATTAACATAATTGAAATCACTAAACAGGCAAGTATTATGTTTATTAAGGTCTTGATCTGACCCACAGAGGCACAAGGAACTCCACTTGAAGAATTAGTCCTATATTTATATAAAAGGGATATGTATCATTAATGAATGATAAAAATGAATAAGAGATACATTTACAATAAGCAATAACAAATATTGAAAGCACAACATGAACTTATATTTCTAATCTTACCTAGTCCTAGCTACTAGTTAAACATATGAAAACATATTAGATTGATGATTTCAGTCCCCTGCAAGGACAGGGCATAGTTTTACATACAGGACACAATAACTATTAAGCTGACACTGAGGAAGTACATTGCTAAAAGGATACTTTTGCATACTACAAAAAGAAGTGTCAGTTTTAAGCAGGATTTTCCTAACTTTCAGTGATTGTGACATACATTCTTAAAGCATGCTATCTGGTGAGAAAAGCAACTATGTAAAAATAGCTTTACCTTATTCAACACATTACTTCTATTAACTACCTACTTAATGGGATAAATTAGGTCCCCCCTCCCCCTCAAACTTATGTTTACTCTCATTTTTACCTAAACTGTACCAATAGAGTTTTCTCCAGAATGAGCTTCTGAGGTTTCAGTGACACAATACATTAAATACATGGTGCCCAATCTAAATTGTGTATGTAAATGCTGTAGGACTTGGGGGATAAGAGCCAAACTAATTCACAACATACTGAATTTCAAGTTACAGCCCTTGGTGCATTTGAATGGCTCTTGCTGATTTCACTGTTAAGACTGAAATTAAATGCACATTTTTTTTCTCATGGATGTATATAGGAAAGTGTAAAACAAGTGCGGATATAGCCATCTGAATAAATCTGCATTCTTATATAGCGATCCAAAAATAGTCTAGTTTCAAATGTGTTTTGGCAGCATGAGAGGGACAGGGTACAGCTCAAAGTACTAAAATATTAGCCACACAAAATACATTTATTCATAACCTTATCAAAACTTATAAATGGAAGTTTCTGAACAACTTGATTTCTACTCATGTTATTTCTGTTCAGACTTGTAAACCTTTTCTTTGCAAAGCTAAACAAAATGAAATAAGCCTCTGCCTACAGAATATTCCTAGTATTTAATCATAAAGGTAGATTTGGGGCAGACTGAGGAAAGCCACTTCAAGATAGTCATTATAATGCACTAATTTATGGACATCACTTGTGCTTCACATGAAACACAGACTTTATATTAATGCAAGGGGGGGTGAATGGACACCTACTATCAGACTTGAAATTTGATATGGCTGTCTGTTACAGTAGTTCACGAACAGAAACTTTATTATGACTGCACTAGTCAACTTCCTCCGCTATATCCAATGCAACTTAGCCTCCATTTACCTCACCATAAATATCACTGCATAAACCATTCTGTTATTAAAACTGGAGCAGTCCACTTTCCAACCAGGTGGAGACTACCCCCCTCTGATGCTGACAATCATCACCACTGGCACAGGCAGTGTTGGGATGTGGTGTGGCAGCCCTACTAGCCATGTTTAATTTAAAGCACACAGCAAATCAGCTACAAAGATGTTCCACATTATATGTAAATGCTCCATTATAGGTGGACTATCTTTGTGGCTGTTTTCTTATTTTATTGCACCATTAATTGGCTGAACTTGTGGCATGGTTGCTATTTATGGCATGGCTAATGTTATGTGTGCAATAAATGTAACATTTGCCTTGGCTCTGTGATAGCAAAGCTACCCTTGGTGTTTGTTAAGAGTTTTGCTACTTCCCTTTGTCTGCTTTACAATAATTCCCCATTTTTTCTCATGTGGGAAGTGGTCACCTTGGAATAGTAGGCAGGAGAAATGGAATCAATAAGAATCAACATAGGCAATCAATTTTTCTCCTAGTCTCAGTTTTTCTTAAGAAGAAATAAATCTCTAGTAGTTATTACGGTTGTTGAGAAAAATCTTTAAACCATAGATTAAGGGCACATCTATACTACACATTTTTGTTGGCACAGCCACGTAGACAAGGAGTTGCAGAAATCATGCCCCTTACTGACAGCTACGTTTACTAAATCACTCATGTTGACCTAACTTATACCAGTAAGAATGTCAACTGGCCAGAACAGTGTCAGTTCACTGTGAAGGTGGTTTGTGCAAGCCAGAGAAGACCTTTTGCCAGTATAATTCACATCTCCAGTAAGGGGGATTGATAGTTAAGCTATATGAAACATTATTTGATATAATATTGTTTTGCAATTTTCTGTTAAAAGAATGTTAGTACTGGTGATCTAAATCCTTGTCTTTTATTTAATTATGTTAATGAGGTGTGTTGGTTTGTTGGGAAGAGTCTTCATAGAGGCACAGTTATACAGTTACAACACAATTCATAAGGCATAACTTGTTTTGATTCACCAAACTGCAACAAATTATGCTGGCATAACTACTTTTGCCACAGCATATTGCATTCACAGTAAAAGAATGTGATATTTTAACTATGCTAGTATTTGGGACCTGGTTATATATACCTGAAGGGATAACTGATATCTGAAGGGTATATATATAGCCCCTGTGGCTATAGGGGACAAGACTAGGATCACTGGCCTCAAACTGGATCAGGGGAGATCAGGCTAAAAATTAGGAAGAGCTCTCAGACTATGAAGACAAGTATTGGAACAGACTACCTATACAAGCTGAGAAATCTCTATCCCTGGAAATTTTCAAGAGCAGGCTAGATAGACATTTGACAGGGATAGTTTAGTCAGGGATAGTTTAGTCCTGCCTTGAGCAGGCTGCTGGCTCACATGAGGTTCCTTCTCACCCTTTTTTCCCATGATCCTATGACTTCTGTCATCATCGGAAGGAAAACAGATATTGTGCCTTAATATAAATCAATTATGAATTAAAACTAAACAGATTAGCAAATTAGTATGGTCACACCTGCATGTTAAATACTTGTGAGGTGTCACATGATGATGGATCTCTAAATGGGATTATAACATGTTTTCCTCCAACATCAGGGGATTGTACTCAGTGACCCAGCAGGGCCCTTCTTCAATCCTATGTCTGTGTGCAATTTTTCTAACTATAGAGGTAAGAGTCTGCTTTCATTTACGTGATGAAAATGAAAGTGCAACCGTGATTCTTTTACTCTAAAAGGGAGTATTACAGAGAGCCATGTTTTTTATCTGAGATCAAATGTGCTTCATTTATAAAAAAACCTACTCCTCCCCATCCTCCAAAATACCAACTCTGCAATTTGATTTTGAATCAACAGAGCTGACCTGGTTTTTTTCTGTCTTGGACTCCATCACCATAATGAATATTTGGTAGGTTGAAAACTCTGCTACACCTGAGCTCCCCACCGTCTTCAAATGAAGACACTAAATGACAACCTAAATGAAAACCTGAGCAATGCCAGTAGTAACACTGGGGTTTCACAGGTGCCTCTAATTGGAATGCAATAAATAATTCTGTTGCTCATGCACAAGAACAAAGTTAGTTCAGTTGATGCTCTCTGTTGCATTTCCTCCACACAACTAACCATAGTGTAAAGTGACAAAATTTATGCTGTCTGAAATACCTACTGCCAGGGCAGAGGGACACAGTCCCTACCTGGCTTCTGGTAGTGGAGCCTGCCCCAGCAGCAGACAGTTCCTAGGGGCAGGGAGCAATCTCCTGCCCTCTGGTGCCTGGTTGACCGGGTGCAGATCTGCTCCCAGTCAGGTGTCTACATGAGCACTACTGCGCAGTAAGTAATCACAAGTAAATTTGCTACTTGCATTTTCAGGTAGCAAATTTACACACAATTGCCGAGGTTTACTTTGCAGTAAGCATGTGCATGTGCAGATGCACATGCTTACTGTGTAGTAAACTATGCTACTGCACAGTAAGGCATCTCATGTACATGCACCCAGTTTTACACAGTACCTTCTCTGAATGGCACTGTATTTTGCCTCAACTTAAGTCAAAAAAGTCAATCCTTATGCACCAGAGTAAGTGAAAGGAGAATATTAAATGCCAGATCTGTCAAATATCATATATTTTGGGGCAAAGGACTGAGCAGATGGAGAGAAGAAATGTACCCACAATTATGAGTAACAACAAAATGGATTCTGGGGTCAACACAAGTCTAGTCTTGTCCACCACTTCTATTGAGAACTTGCCTTGCCTCCAGAAAATATAACTAGAACATGTACTTGACAAATGAGTCTTAAAAATATAGGCAGTATATGATGTTCTGTAAAGAATAGCTGTCATCATCGTTGGCAATTCCTCTATATGAGGCTGACAGTCTTCCAGTATATAGGGAAGTCATCAGTGAGTCTGTAGATGACTGAGGAAGCCAATCCGAGAACTGCATGTTTGACTGCAAGACATGGCAAGTATTTCTAGGAGGAAAGAGTAGATTGTAGGGTGATGTCATGACACAGCTTTTTTTCTTTGTCTCTCTCATCTACCTACCTCCATAGTGAAATGAGTTTCCTTGAAATGATCAAGGCCTTGCCATATATCATGGCAAAATTATGGATGATTCAGTCTTGAGTCTCCCAGATACTGCATTTCTTCATATTGGTCATCAAGGTGTCCTTGAATCTCTTCTTTTGCCCAGCTCTAGAACAGTGACCATGATTGAGTTGGGAGAATAAACTTGTTTTGGGAGCTAGTTGTCAGGCATCTTTATGACATGCCCTGTCCAACAAACCTGATGCCGTATAAACCTGACTTCAAGGCTGGTGGTGCTTTCTTGAGCCTGAACCCTGGAATTCATTCTTCTGTCCATCCAATTTATGTAGAGGATTTTCCAAAGACACCACTGATGGTAATGTTGCAAATCTTTCTGGTGTTTTTGATGTGTCATCTAAGTTTCATGCCCATACAACAGGACAGAAATGACAACAGCCTGGGAGACAAGAAGTTGGGTTTCGGTCCTAATGTCATGATCAT